ACCCAACACCCGCCCCCCCCCTCCATGGAGAATGTAATTTGCCTCTTGTCCAAATTGAGTTAGGACCTGATTGATGGTAATTATCAGGATAAAAACGATGAAAGAAAAACAAACAGACGTCAGTTCCAGGTTCAAGGTCAGTGAATGTTTTTGGATCTATATAAAGGCCTCAGAGTGTGGGGGGGGAGGGGTGGTGTGAGGGGAGAGGAGTGCCTCCCCCCCCTCCCCCAGTCTGGCTGTATCCCAGCTGCTGCTGATAATGATGTCTCCGACCTGGTCATCACTGGCAACATTACTGAAATGATTGGAAATAATTGGAAAAGCAGCAGAACAGAGAGGAGAGCGGAGCTCGGACCGAACCTTTTGACCCAAACACTCTGACGACATCAGACGTTCTGTTGACCAGTCAGTGATGAGCTGCACAACAGCAGGAGAACCTTCTAGAACCGAACCTTCTATGTTTCAGTTCCCTTCAAAGACACTTTTACTGTTGGTTCTCTTCATTATTAAAGTCGGATTAAAGTGCCCCGTGTTCAGGCTCCTCCCTCCCTCCTTCTCTCCCTCCCTCCCTCCTTCTCTCCCTCCCTCCCTCTTTCTCCCTCTCCACTCCCTCACCCATCCCACCCATTGCCCCTTCAATCGTCTCCTTAGTACCTCCCTCCCCCCTCTCCAGGGTCCTCTATTGTGGGTAAAATTATTTCACTCTGATAAAAACTTTGTTCAGATTTAGCTTCTGCTGACGGACAGACAGACAGAGGGACAGAGGGACGGACAGAAGAGCCAAGGAGAGAGAGGAGAGAGAGGAGAGAGAGGAGAGAGAGAGGGGCTCTAGAGTCTGGATGAAGATGTGAGTGAGTGAGTCTGCAGCAGCAGCAGCAGCAGCAGCAGCAGACGCAGCACGCGGACAGCTGGTCCCTCAGTGAGGTCGGACTTGGTTCTGTACGACTGAAAGAGTGAACGACCACAGCATCAACTGAGGGACGAGGACCAAACCAGGTAAAGACGTCAGTCCTCAGTGAAATGGGTTTATTGTTCGATGAAAAACTCAGAGGAAATGTTTGAAGTCTGCTTCCTGTTTGTATTGAGAAGAAAAAAAAGATTCTTTACTACAGCTTAATCTGTTGGATTAGGTCGGATTAGGTCGGATCAGATATCAGATCAGATTAGGTCGGATTAGGTCGGATCAGATTAGAGATCAGATCAGATTAGGTCGGATTAGGTTGGATTAGATGAAGTTGTTGGTTAATTTATGGGTGAAATCTTCAGGCTGTTCAAAGAGAGTCTGAACCGTGGCCCCCAGTGACAGACCACGTGGTGATGCCTTCACTGTCACTGATGACCAGGAGGATTTTTTGCCTCCTTCTTCTCTGGACAACGTCAGCTGGTAGGAGCTCGTGGTCGGTCCTGGAAGATGAACTTTGAAAAGTGTTGATGCTGAAGTTTCTGCCACGCTGTTCCTTCTCAGCTCACACTGAGGAGGTGCGTTGTGCTGCGGCTGGTCCGGTGGGGGCGCTGCACCCTGTTCAGGGTCTGCTGGAGACCTTCGAGGCTGGACCTGGTTGTGCTGCGAGAGAGCGAGGGAACAAGGAGAGTCATGTGATCGCCGTGGGCAGAGGGACGGACAAGTCTGGAAACACGGTGCTGAACACCTGTAACAGAACATGGAGTCGTTGTTAGCTGCAGGGGGCGCTGTAGGTGAGGTCCGTGTCCCGTGCTGATGAAACGTTCTTGTTTTCAGGTGAGAGTTCTGCTGAAGCCTCTGTCTCCGTCACCTCCACCTCTGCGACAGCTCCACCTGCTGCTCAGCTCCAGCCTCCCGGTCCACTGGTGGCTGGAGGCAGAAAGACTGCCCCCTGGATTCCCAGTGGAAGTGCAGGTCAGCTTTCTCCACATCTGTACTGACGGTTCTTATGTCAGATTTACTGCATTTTTAATTCTGTCCACCAGGTGTCTGGTCACTCCAGCGTCCAGTCTCAAGCTTTACGTTTGCACGTTCACGTGGTGCATCAGTTACCGTTCCGTCCACGTGCGCTCTACCACTGGGCCCTGAAACGCCACGGTAACCTGTCCTCCCTGACGCACAGCCCCCACGGCAACCGGGTTTACATCAGAGTGGGAGAGGGTGAGTCTGGGGGAGGGTGAGTCTGGGAGAGGGGGAGTCTGGGAGAGGGGGAGTCTGGGAGAGGGGGAGTCTGGGGGAGGGGGTGAGTCTGGGGGAGGGTGGGTCTGGGGGAGAGGGTGAGGCTGGGAGAGGGTGAGGCTGGGAGAGGGTGAGGCTGGGAGAGGGTGAGGCTGGGAGAGGGTGAGGCTGGGGGAGAGGGTGAGTCTGGGAGAGGGTGAGTCTGGGAGAGGGGGAGTCTGGGGGAGGGGGTGAGTCTGGGGGAGGGTGGGTCTGGGGGAGAGGGTGAGTCTGGGGGAGGGTGAGTGTGGGGGGGAGGGTGAGTGTGGGGGAGAGGGTGAGTCTGGGGGAGAGGGTGAGTCTGGGAGAGAGGGTGAGTCTGGGGGAGAGGGTGAGTCTGGGAGAGAGGGTGAGTCTGGGGGAGAGGGGGAGTCTGGGGGGGAGGGGGAGGCTGGG